GGGAAAGGTTGCCTACCCCTGCTCTAAGCAGTTTAGAATGTGTAAGCCAATTGCCCCCAACAAGTTGAGTACTCATTTTATCGACCTAGGAAAGGATGGAAGACTGAGGGCCAAAACAGACTGGCAGTTAAGTGCCGGCTTCCTGGTGGTGTGGGGGAGTGATGGTTGCTGTGGCCCTGATCCAGTGTTCAAAGGGACGCCATCAAGCCACTGCTTCAGGGCGGTCTATTTCGCCTCTGAGTGGACCATGGAACCCTGTCTGGGATCAAACTCACAACCTTGTGGCTGCAGTACAGGCATTTAACCACTGCACCACCAGGGCTCCTTAAGTAGAGTAGAGGATGATAAGACACCAACAACTCTCAGAGAAGTACCGTAGATTAGCAGCTGAATTGTGACTTCTAACAAAAGGCAGTGAACCTAATCACCTGTATGTTTGAATTTTGTTCTCCCTACACTAAATCTGATCCAGGGTCACCCATTTGCTGACCCGACAGTAAATATCAGGTATTTTTACTGTAATCATGCAGAAAGTGAGTTTGTTACAGTTCCCAAGTAACACAGTTCACACAGTTTTAGTGACCAGCAGAAGAGACTTAAAATCAAAGATTTATATGCCTGCATGGAATTGTAAGTGATACATTTGGGGGGGTGGGGGGTGGTAAGAACACAGTTAAACCTGCTTCTAGCAATATTTTAGTTTATTCTCTAGAACAGGGGTGGGCAACTTTTTTGAGCCAGGGGCCAGGTTGCTGTCCCTCAGACTATTGGGGACCCGAAGCACCAAAAATAAATAAATAAATAAATAAATAAATATTAAAATTAAAAATAAAAAAAATAAAAAAAATAAAAAAATATGCATGCACACTCTCTCAGCCCCAGAAAAGCCATGGTAAACCCCCTGTGGAGATTTTGCCAAGAAAACCCCAGGAACAAGTAATAACAACAATAATCAATATCATCATGGCGGGCGGCGGCGGCGGCAGCGGCAGGACTGGCCTGGGGCCGGTCCAAAGGCCTCGGGGGGGGGGCACATCCAGCCCCCGGGCCTTAGGTTGCCTACCCCTGCTCTAGAAGAATCTAGCACCTGAAACATACTATTATTTTACAAAGAAAAAGGGGGAGTGGAATATAGCTGCTAATTGCTCTATTTCATCATGATCTTGGGTGGTTATCAATCCACTTCTTCAGATGCCTTGATACAGTAAAGTATTACTTTTGAACTAAAGAAAAATTACTTGCAGTACTTTTGAGATGAACAGATAACCTAGCTTCCTTACAGTTTGATACATAGATATAAATACAAATACCAATGTGTGTGAACACACACAACTCACCCTAAATCTTCAAGGAGATCCACATACAGGCACAGATTGCATAGCCCCCCTTCTGTTGCTCCAACAATGAGAGGAAAAAATTGTAACCTGCCCCTAGAATGTGCTCACAGAGAGATATATTGTGAAAATTTCTGTCACCAGAAAATTTCTTCCAGCTCTCCTTATGCCTATAGTCTGGCAACCTTCTGGATTTTCATATTTACATCAGATGTACACACTTCAAACAGCACTATAACTTTCTGGGACAGGAAAAACAACACATTACTTCACTCTAAATGTGCTGTATGTTTTCCTGGCCATTCACAAAACTCTCTGCTGAGTCACCTACTCTTTCTCCTAACCAAATGGAAAGGAAAGGAAAGGACCAGAGAAGAGGCTAAGAACAAACCCTGGTTTCTTTCTCTGGCTTGCCAGGAGGCGAACAAACCACAAAAAAAGAATGTCTGCTTCCAAGAGACACAGTAAATAAACCAAGGAGCAAAGCTATATGCTTCATTTAGCAACTGCAGGATCTGGTCATGTCTGATCTTGAACATTAAGCAGGATCAGTCCTGGTTAGTATTTGGATGGGAGACTATCAATGAATACCAGATGCTGTAAGCTATTATTTCAGAGAAAAAGAACTGGCAAAGCCACCTTTTGGGTATTCCTTGTCTAAGAAAACCCTGTAAAATTCATGGGGTTGCCATATGTCAATAGCCCACATAAAGGCACATGCATACACAGTGAAAATGGGAGCTACTGAGCAATAGCCACAAGTATAACGTTTGTTCATGACGTCAGGGTGCCCAAGATCCCTGGCTTGTTGTGTTGTGCAAATGCACCTATTCTCTTCACACTCTAGTCAAATGTACATCTTCTTCATTTTTAAAAAGACTGAACGCTAGCCAATGCTCCTTTCATTACTTGGGAACAAGGGTAACATTGTGATAATACTCTTTTTGGTAGATAACAAATGTAAAGCTCAAGAACAAGGGTGGTGAATCAGCCTTCCTCAGAGGGCTATATTCTTTGGGGAATAATGTTTCAGAAACCACATGCCAGGGTAGACAAGCTAAAAAAGCCAGAGTTGAGCAGGGCCACAGCTAAAACTGAGGGGAGCCCCTGCTTCTTTTCCCTTATATGTGTCTCTGTCTCCTTTTAACTGAAATATAGAAAACACACTCTCAAGCAGAGACCACTTCATTTTCTCTCACACACATCATCCACATGCAGGAGGTTACTGGGGGAGGTACAGTTTACTCCTGCCTGAGGTTTGAACTGATCACTTGCCAAGAACGACATAAAATTAGGCTGAGGTTTGCAGGATGTCCATTCCTCTGCTAGAAGAACACCGCGAGAAACTAGAGACTTATTAGAGAACAAAAATATCTTTTGTGAGCACTTTGGTATGTCCATGAAATGCAAGAGCAAAGTCACTGGAGCAACCGCAACATTCAAATGCCCAGGAGTGGATTCATGTTTTGGGTGGAAGTGCTGTTTTATATATTATTTTTCATCAATATTCTTTCATCTCTTGGATTTTGCTAGCCCTTATTTGGTTATACAAATTAAGGTGACAAATCTAATGAGGGTGTTAGGTGAATGAGCACCTATGCATGCATACCTGATCATAATGAAACAGGCTGATTTGGTTTGGTTATGCAAGTGCAAATATTGCCTTCCTTTTATTTCTCTTAATAAACAAGTAGAAATAGGTAGGCAATTACTTAAGCAAATCTTATCAGCTGAGAAGACGTACATTTATACCATCCTCTTCTCCCACCTCTTTTCATAAACAGGGGATCACCTGATAAACAATAAGTCTTCATGCCGGAATTAAGTTTAAAAAAAACATAACGCAGACATAATTCCAGAACTACACTGGGATGTTTCCTACTGCACAATGGGATTGATTGTTTATAGTTTTAAGTACATGTTTATTGTCAATTCTCACATGTCCTGCTTGGAGAAGTGAACAACACAAATCCTAACTATCTTATTGTTATATAATGTGTTCTCTCCTTCCAAAAGCGACAAAAAAAGTAATTTCAAACTTCCATTTCCAAACTTCCACCAGCTCTTTCTGTCTTTCCTTTTTTTTACAAAGGGAGTTGTCAGCACACCTACAACTGTGCCAGAATTGCACGCTTCTGCTGAAAGCAGCTCTTCCCCAACCACACCAATCCATCTGCCCACAGATCAGTCTTAAAAATGCTCTCCTACAGTTTCCGCATCGCACTCCGTCAACATGCACAGCGACCGGAGCGACCGTCTTAAGAGGGCAAACAGTTCCAAAGGGAACGCGCAACCATCTACACTGCAGCCTTTCAAAGATCCAGTCCATAATCCCCAAAAGATTCAAAAGCATTACCTCACCGCTGCTTTGAGACAAACTGAGCATTCACTCGGGGTCCTACCCAGCATTCCCCGGCCCACACAAAGACAACAGAGGTGTGACCAATCACATTGTGGCTCCCAGGCGCTGTTTCAAAGCTCCCTCCCTACGCTGCCCATTGACATGCTAGCTGGCAGCCTGCTGAACTTGTCGTCATGGCAACACATCCCAGATGCTCTCCACCGAGGCTTGTCACATTACTCGCCCCCCCCCCAAAAAAATGCACCCACACACACACATACACCTCCCTTTTCACCACTCACTTTTTCTAATTAAAAATGTAGGCCTCTGTTTTGCAAGGTGGTGGCAAACAGAAACAAAACAAGACACCTCGCCGCAAGAGCGTACCATTCACAATAAGCCAAAGTCTTTGCTGTCACCGGGAAATGGACAGAAGCACAGACCTGGATGGACAGAACTTGTCACTACAGCTAGTCTTTGTTTTGCAGCCAACGCACATGGACCTAAAGGCACCCCACCCAGTTTCAAATCCTGTAGAGCATGCTGCAATCGATGCATTTGCCCTCTGTCTCGAAAGAGAGCCTTTCTTCTCAAAGTGACTGCTGGAAAGGTCTCTTCAGACAGTTCTTTGAATGTCAAAAAAAGAAAAAAGAAAAAAAAGTCAATAAAATTTAAATTGCCCCCGGGATAAGGAAAGCAGGCATTGTGGGGGAGATCCTTGTTAAGCTGACAATATGATAAGTAAAAGGGTGGGGTGGCGGGTGAGGCTGGAAAAGATGAAACTTTCCACATGCAGCCTTCTTAGTGACATTTGTCATTACACAGTTGTTGTTTTTAAGGACGGCTGCACATTCCACATCCCTCTCTGGACAAAAGGAAAGCTAATGGGAGGAATCCTAAACAGCCCTCTTCAACTGGGAGTAAAGCCTGCTAAACTCATTAGAAATTATTCTTAAGTAGACATACTTAGGATTGCACAGTTACAAAAGAACAAAGGAGTGCAAGATCTCCAGACATGAAAAGGCAGTCAGATCCTTTAAAAAGGCCATGAATGCCTTGTATCATGTATTTTATTTATTTATTTATATTTAATAAAGGGATTTACACCCCACAAAATGGAATGCAAGGCAGGTTGTTGTTGTTGTTGTTGTTGTTGTTGTGTGCTTTCATGTCGTTTTCAACTTATGGCGACCCTAAGATGAACCTATCATGGGGTTTTCCTGGAAAGATTTGTTCAGAAAAGGTTTGTTATTTTTATTATTAAATTATTGTCACAATAAAAACGTTAAAAATAATTAAATAATACTAATATTAAAACGTGGGGAACCAGCGTGGCATAATGGTTTGAGTCTTGGATTACGACTCTGGAGCCAGGGTTCGATTCCCAGCTCTGCCATTAAACCCACTGGGTGACCCTGGGCAAGTCACATGCTCTCAGCCTCAGGAGAGGGCAACAGCAGACCTCCTCTGAAGAAATCTTGCCAAGAAACCCACATGATAGGTTCATCTTAGGGTCGTCATAAGTCGGAAACAACTGGAAGGCACACAACAAAAACAAGAATATTAAAATGTAAGTTAAAAACAGCATATTAAAACAGTAAAACCCACGAAAGCACTGAGACAGTAAACCACACTACACAAGTAAAATTAATCTACCCAAAGCCTGCCTAAATAACAATGTTTTCAGCTGCCGTCAAAAAGAGAGCAGGGAGGGGGCTGATCTAACTTCCCATGGAAGGGAGTTCCACAATCTGGGAGCAGCCACGGAGAAGGCTCTCCCACACGTCCTCACCAACTGCACTTGAAAAGGTGGTGGGGTTGAAAGAAAACCCTCTCCTGCCGATCTTAGCACTCAGGCTGGCATGTATAGGGGATACGGTTGTTCAGATAGTCTGGACCCAATTTAAACATTTTTTTTAAAGTTTTAACTATACAGTTGGCCCTCGATACCTGCAGGGGATCTCTTCTGGATCCCCTCGCAGATAACAAAATCCACGGATGCTCAAGTCTCATTGTCATTGGGGAAAGTGAAACTTTGCTGCCCTGGCCACCTGAAGCCTGCCTCGCTGCTCTCATTGTCCAACCTACCTTTGAGACCACCTCCCGTACAATCCGTCCCGCGCATTCTGGTCGTCTGGGAGGAATCTGTAACAGGTGAATAAATCTAGATTGACAGCTACTTCCCAGAGGGCCTTTTCGATGACGGCCCCCAGACTATGGAACGACCTGCCGGATGAGATCCGTCATTTACCAACCTCAGACAGCTTTAAAAGGGCTGTCAAGACGAATCTCTTCCAGCAGGCCTTTCCTGATTATTCCTCCCAGTCAGAGAACTTGTCCCCTGTACCTCTCTTCCCCCCATTCCAGCTACTATCAAACTCTCTCCTGCCGTAATTTATTGTAATTGATATTTTTTTTGGTAATTTGTTTTAAACTGTTTTTAAATTTGATGTAGTTTAATAATTTTTTAAGGGTTGGGAGGGTTGGGGTTTAGGGTTGATTTTACTATATTGTATTTTTATGTTGGAAGCCGCCCCAATTGCTATACAGAGGGGCAGGGTATAAATAATTTTATTATTATTATTATTATTATTATTATTATTATTATTATTATTATTATTATTATTCCTCCCTCTGCTTCTTTCCCTCTGCTGCCTCTTTCTCTTCCTCCTCCCTGCCTCCTCCTCCTCCTCTGTCGCTCCCCACAGGCTTGCCATCTGCAGACACTAGGATCCATGGATAGCAAGTCCACAGATTTGGAGGCCTACTGTATTTAAATATATGACATTTTTAAAACAACATGTTTGGCTAGTAAAATATTTATTATTATGAGGAGGGAAAGGTGAAAGAAAAATCTATAAATCTATAATATCTATAGTCTAGGCAACTAGACTAAGGGCCGGCCTGGAGGCAGAGATAGGGAGGGGCAGCCACATACCAGCCACCCCAATTCCACGCCAAGGACGTCCTAACATGGCAGCATTTTGACAGGCTGCATCAGAAGAGGCACTAAAGAGCCATGCACCAGCTCTCAGGGCGGCAAAAGGGAGGATCAGGGCCACTGCGTGGGCAGCCTCAACCCCGATCCACCACTCCCTGGGGTGGCTCTCCACCACCCCTTTGGGTCAATGTGCATCGGCCCTAACTTTCCTATCTCTGTCTACTTCCATGTCAGTACATGGGCTGTACTTATACAGCTGTCCTTAACCAGCATTATGAATATTCCAGCATATAACCAAAGCTTGAAGGCTGCTTTTTTATATTACAGTTCCAGTATATCCTAGTCAGCACAGTGGCTTCAGTAGAGTTGGTGTTGCGTGATGCATAACTCATGGAGTCACATACCCCCACTGACCTCCTCCCATACTACACCATACAGATTCATCAGTAATGTTTTTTGTTTTAATGTTACTCATAAATCATAATTCCAGTACATTTATATCACTGAATGTAATGCCAATAGTTGTGACATAAACAACTAGCAGAACTAAAATTATACCTTTAAATTACAATATCATACGCACAATCTAAATATATTTACATGTACATAGTTTCATGTGGTTAAAGTGAAGAGATGACAAGATGTGATGTTTTTAAAGAATTTTTAAAGATAAAAATAAAAATTAAATTTGTAAATTTGTAATTTTTATTTTTAAAAAATCCTCTCTCCTCCCACTGGGCCTCATCCTACTCACATCTTCTCTCCCACTGAGCCCTAGTATTTTAAAGGGATACAGGAAAACTCCATGGCCCGTTTCTGCCCAAAGGCAGATGTTTTGGGTGTCATCTGGTGTGGCCCACATCCTCAGCATCCCCTAATGATGTCCCTGAACCAGCATTGGAAAGAAGTACTTTTCTTAGCTCGACATGCAACTCATTATATCTGGGAAATGATCCCAAGGTGTGTAGATCCACGCACAGCCATGATCTCACCATCTCTTAAGCATTCTCAAAACCATGTGAAAATGATACCACTATCCACCAAAACCACATGTTTGTATAAAGCCCACTTCTGTTAAGTAAGCAAAACAATTAAGGGGAGAAAGGAGCTCAACTAATATACTGTACAATATTCCTCTCTGTCAGATCTATCCAGAATGCATGTGGCTTAATATTAGACTAAACCTTTGTCCAGATTATTCACTCTAATTTACAGCTCTGATGTTGATTAAATTAAACCAAGACAACTCTGTGACTCAGGAGTAAAATCAGCAGTACTTACAGAGCAAAGATAAAAGATTTTCTTTTGTATCTTTATTGCTTTTGCCCCTGACAAAAGAACAGGCTACAGCATGCAGTGAAAAGTCAGTTGAGAATGTATGCCAAATATTTTCAGCAAAAGCAACCAAAGAAACAAATGAATACCTTTCTCCCTAGATGAAATCTAAACTATTGTACTGGTGGCTATGATAAATTAATTACTCAGCATTTTTGGCTGACTTTCCTCTCACACATACTTATGAATTTACCTTCATTTTTCTAGGCCATGTACAGGAAAATATGGGAACAGGTTCTCCACTAAATACAGGATAATATCACTGACGCAATTCTACTGTTGCACCAGTGCCAAACTGGCAGAACCAGCATATAATGAAAAACCATGACTGTACATTGCAAAAATGGGTGAAGCTGATGCCTGTGGAAGAAAAGAAAGGCTTAGTCAGAATCCTTTGCTTGCTCAGGTTGTTTCTATCCCCTACACCAGCATGTTAAACCTAAACAAAAGGGGTAAATACTCTGACAACAAGAGGATCTCACCATCCAAATGCAGTATGGAAAAATAGTACAATAGCTTAACAAGCCTTCTTTACTCAACAGATAACAGCAGGTCTGCCATAAATGTGACACCGAACAAGGGATGTGCTTTACATTGGTTGTAAATCCCGCAATGCAGGTGAGCTTGCAGAGCAGAACTATGCTTCTAAATAACATATTACTGAAGGGATCAGCCAAATATCATGATGAAATGTGCCTTATAGGATCAATAGTAAGGCATTTGACAGGACAGTCATTATTCCATTCCAACACCACTACATAAAATGAAAGAGCATAACCAGTTTCTTCTTTTAACAACTGGTTCAAGAAATGTAGACATCAGAGGATCCACTAAGTAACAGCATGCTTACTAGAAGACTGAGGAGCCTGGCTTTGTCACAGAGGCTGGAAAAGCAGCTAGAGATATGAAAGTTCAGGGAGGAAAAGGGAATTTATTTCCCCACCCCCAAAAGCCTTTAAATGATGAGCAAAATGCTTAAGACAAATGTTGACATATTTAGTATCACATATTTAGTATCCCAAAATCATTTCTAAAAACTATGTAGGAGAAAGATTTGTATGTTAAGACTAAGTACAGTATAAGATCATTATAATTGTTAGTCTTGGTTTTGTTTTCTCACTTTTAAAGGAAATGAGTGTCTTATTTCTGCATGACACTATGGAGAAATAGTGGAGACAAAATAATTTTCTTAGTTTTACTAATACAGTGGGCCCTCCTTATTCACGGACCTGCCATCCGCAGATTTGAGCATCCGCGGTTGGCAAGCACCGCCATTGGGAACAGAAGTCTCTGCCTCCCCATCTCCTTTCCTCCCTCCTCTCTTCTTCCTTCCCTACTTCTTCCTTCCTATGTCTTTGCCCCGGCTTGACTTTGGGGATGGAGTCTGCCTCCCAGTCAGCTGGGGCCAGTGCTAAAGTCTTGGAGCCCTGTCCCCAGGCCTAGTATGCAGGATGGAGCCTCTAGGCTCTGAAACTCAAGCTTCGGCCCTGGTGCTGGCTCCCTCCAGCCAATGGGGCTCCGAATCAAGCTGTTGGCCAGAGTGGGCCAGGGCCAGGGCCGGGGCTTGAGTTTCAGAGCCCAGAGGATCCATCCCTAGTGCTAGGCCTGGGGACGGGGCTCTGAAACTCTAGCCCAGCCTTGGCGGCAGACTCTGACACCAAAGTCAAGCCAGGGAAAAGACGAAGGAAGGAAAAAGATGGTAAGGATGGAGGGAGAAAGAGGGGGGAATGAAGGAGATAGGAGGGAGGGAAGCGAAGGACTTTTGTCCCATTGTCTCTAATGGGACTTGAGCATCCACACATTTTGGTATCTGGGGTGGGTGGGTCCAGAACAGATCACCCACAGATACCGAGGGCCCACTGTATCAATGAAACATATCCAGGGAAAGATGTGTTGGCCGTACAGCAAAGTACAATTAACAGCCAAAATTCTCAAAACAGTGATATCTTCATTGGGCCAACCAAAATGTATAAAATACATGTTGCAAGCTTTCAAAGCTCAACTGTCAGGCAGGAGGGGGAAAAAACACGATGATGCTAGTCACAGGCCTGCATTCTGACAAGATGTTGTGTTGTTCTAAGTTAAGATGGTATGGAAGGATATCTATGCAAACAAGCCTC